TGGGTGATGGGCTAGGATATACGGATCCCAGACCCTGGAGTCCACTTGGCCAACCAGTCACTCGCACAATAAACAATATGGTAGTCCCTGGGCTGAGAGCTGTATTTCCAGTGTTGAATCAGATTCAGTGTTCGTGCCTGAAGAGTTTAGTGGAGATAAACACACATACCGTATCCCAACACATTCTGTGTAACACAGCACAGCTCACTGTAACTCAGCACCACACATCTCAACTTGACACAGCGTAAAAATCCCAGGTGTGGGTGCCGGCATTGTGGTGCAGCTGGTTAAACCCCTGCATCCCATGGCCCAGCTGCTCGGCTTCCAGTCCAGCTTCCTGCTTCTGTGCCCAGGACGGCAGTGAGTAATTGCCCAAGTGCTTGGGTCCCTATCAGCCACATGAGCGATCAGTTCCTGTCTCTTGACTTTGGCCTGGCCCAGACCTAGCTGTTGTGGCCATTTGGGGAGTGAGTGAGCAGATGGAAGGCCTTTCTCTACCTCTCTTTCAAAAAAAAAGAGAGTTATTTATTTATTTTGAAAGAGTGATGGAGAGAGAGAGACACAGAGAGAGAGAGTTCTTCCATACACTGGTTCACTCCCCAGGTGGCCACAACAGCTGAGGGTAGGCCCTGCCAAAGCCAGGAGTCAGAAGCTTCATCTAGGTCTCCCTCATGGATGGCCAGGGCCCAAACACTTGGGCCATCTTTTGCTGGTCTTCCCAGGCCAGCAGCAGGGAGCTGGATCAGAAGTGGAGCAGTCAGGATACACACCGGTGCCCGGATGGGATGCTGGCTTTGTAGGTGGCAGGTTTATCCACTGTGCCACAATGCTCCCCCCTCCCCGTGTACCTTAAAAAACAACAACAACAAACAAAAACAAAAAAACCTGTTAATTGTGTTTTTCAGCTCTGGGGCCTCACCTCCAGAAAGTGCAGCTCACAGGCCAAGGGGCTGGGAGGTGGGACATCTGCCCTAGGGGGAGAGGCGGTATTCCAGAAAAGGGGGCACCCTGTGCATCACAGCTTCCTCCATGCTGACGGCACAGTGGGGTGTCTGCTGCCCCTCCCCTACCCAACCTTGCCCTCCCTCCCTAGTTGCTCCTGGGAGCCCAGGCTTCCAGCCCAGCCTCTTGAGTGGGGGTGGGCGAGGGAGGACTCTGCTCAAAGCCCTTAGCAAAGCCTTTTCCTCAACCAGGATGGTTCCTTCTCTTCCTTGAGAGGAGGGCTGGGTCCTGTGTCTAGGTGGTAATTTTTGTAGCCGTCACAACCCGAGACTCACGGAAAATTAAAATCTGTCCTAGAAACAGGCATTTCAGAACAAGCCGTTGTAAGGACCACAAGGCGCAGAGAATTTTAGAATGCCCTAAATCAGAACAATTGGAAGGGGCCATGAGAGGGACACAGGCCTCTCCTGCACAACACTGCCAGCAGCTGCTCCTATTGTCTCTGCTTAAACAGGGCTCTGCTCTCAGCAGGTGATCAGCTCCCCCGGGATTAGGGCAGCAGCTGCCTGTGGAACTACTGGAGATAAGGAGGTCCTTAACTGTCTCCTGTACCTGTGGCGGCTCACGTGGACGCCAGCCCCCGGTGAGCGCAAGGTTTACTTATTATGTGTTTATTTTGTATTTTATATGAGATTTTACTTTTACAAGCCAGAAAGAGAGAGAGAGTGATAGTGAGAGAGAGAGAGGGTTTCCATCTGCTAGTTCACTCCCAGAGCTGGAATCCCAAGGGAAACCAGGAATCAAAACAGGGGTGCCAACATGGGATGAGGATGTCTTGTGCAGAGCCAACCCTGCACCAAATGCCCACCCTGTGCTGAGGCTTTAGCCCGGGTTCTAGTCCCAGTCGGGGCGCCAGATTCTGTCCCGGTTGCTCCTCTTCCAGACCAGCTCTCTGCTGTGGCCCGGGAGTGCAGTGGAGGATGGCCCAAGTCCTTGGCCCCTGCACCCGCATGGGAGACCAGGAGAAGCATCTGGCTCCTGGCTTCAGATCAGCGCAGTGCGCAGGCCGCAGCGGCCATTGGGGAGTGAACCAACGACAAAGGAAGACCTTTCGCTGTCTCTCTCTCACTGTCCACCCTGCCTGTCAAAAAAAAAAAAAAAAAAAAAAAGGAAATGCAATAACCTAGCTAGACCTAAGACCTGGGATCTGGGTGGTCCAAGGCATGATCACCTCCGCTGAGCTCATTCTTGACTGGAGCGGGGCTGTGGCCAGAGGGCATGGTGTGATAATAGATGGTGGTGGTGGTGGCTACCATGTATTGATAAGTTGTATTTTCCTTTCATTTAGTTAAAAATATTTTAAAAATGTATCTCCAGATTCCTTCTTTGATTCAACTGTTATTTAGAAGTGTGTTGCTTAATCTTCAAAGTATTTGGTGATTTTCCAGTTATCTTTCTGTTGTTGCTTTCTTAGTTTAATTCCATGTGATCTGACAGCACACATTGTACGGTTTCTATGGTTTTAACTTGCTAAGCTGCGTTTTTTAGCCCTGAATGTCATCTATCTTAGTGAATGTTTTACGTGAGCTTGAGAAGATTGTCAGGGTGAATTGTCAGGGTGGCTCAGAAAGCAAGACCAGACTACATGTTGTCTGCATGAAACTTGTTTCAAATGTGAAGACACTTACAGATTAAAAGCCGAGGCAATTGGGCCATCTTCTGCTGCTTTCCCAGGCACATTAGCAGGGAGCTGGATTGCAAGTGGAGCAGCCGGGACTGGAACCAGTGCTCATAATGGGATGCCAGCGTTGGAGTCCTAGGTGGCAGCTTAACTCTCTGTGCCACAATGCTGGCCCCAAATATGGTATACATTAGTTCAACTGTACTGGCTACTATTTACTTTTTAAAAGACTTACTTATTTATTGGAAAGACAGAGTGCCAGAGAGAGAGAGAGAGAGAGAGAGAGATCTTCCATCCACTCATTCACTCTCCAAATGGCTGCAAAGGCTGGGGGCTGGTCTGGGCCTGGAACTCCACCTGGGTCTCCCATGTGGGTGGCAGGGGCCCAAGCACTCCAGCCATCATCCACTGCTTTTCCAGGCACATTAGCAAGGAGCTGGATAGGAAGCAGAGCAAAGCATTCCAGGCCATAGATTAATCTGCTGTGCCACAGCAGGTTCCTAAACAGTCACTTTAAATATCAATGGTCTCAGGGCAGCGCTGTGGCATGCAGTGGGCTAAGTCTCCATCTGCAGCACTGGCATCCCCCATGGGCTCTGGGTTCTAGTCCCAGCTGCTCCTCTTCCAATCCAGCTCTCTGTTGTGGCCTGGGAAAGCAGTAGAAGATGGCCCAGGTGCTTGGGCCCCTTCACCCACATGGGAGACCTGGAAGAAGCTCCTGGTTCCTGGCTTTGGATCGGCGCAGCTCCAGCCATTGCAGCCATTTGGGAGTAAACCTTTCTCTCAGTCTCTCTCTCTCTCTTTCACTGTTTGTAACTCTACCTCTCAAATAAATACATAAATCTTAAAAAAGTCAATGATCTCAATATATCAAATGAAATATGGAGATTATCAGAGTGGCTCTAAAAACAAGACCAGACTATATGTTGTTGCATGAAACCTAATTTAAATGTAAAGACACTTACAGATTCAAAGTCAAGGGGTGAAGAAAAACATATCAGCCTAATACTGATCAAAAGAAAGCGGGAGTAGCTGTATAAATTTCAGAACAAGGAAAATGATGAGTGATAAATGTGAACATTGCATAATGACAGGGAGCTCAATTCTCCAAGTCATAGAACGTGTACACTCCTTAATGTGGATGTGCCCAACAACAGAGCATCAAAATACAGGAGGCAAATACTGACAGGACCGCAAAGACAAATAGGTGAGTTCACAGTTACAGTAGGCGATGTCAACATCCCTCTATCAAAAATGGGCAGATCCAAACAGGCAGAAAATCAGTAACACAACAGCCAAATCAGAACCCAGCAGCACAGGAAGCCACCTGGGGATAGTCAGTGGATCTAGGTGACTCCATCCATCAGCATGCATGGCACCCTGATTGTATGCTGAAATGCCATACTGTCCCGCTCCGTCCCGCCCAGGATGTGAATCATCCCTTTGCCCAGCCTCCCTGTACTGTGTACCCTACCTGCCCGTTAGTCATTTAGTAGCCGTCTGGGTCATCAGATCACACAGTGCTTGTATGTAGGGTCAGTACCAATTGCAGTTTCAAGCACCCCCTGGACGTCTTAAAATGTATCCCCCCATGGCCAATGTTGTGATGTAGTAGGCTAAGCCTCTGCCTGCAGTGCCAGAATCCCATATGGGCAGTGGTTTGAGTCCCGACTGCTTCATTTTTCGATCCAGCTCTCTGCTATGGCCTGGGAGAGCAGTGGAAGGTGGCCCAAGTCCTTGGGCCCCTGCACCTGCGTGGGAGACCTGGAAGAAATTCCTGGTTCCTGGCTCCGGATCGACTCAGCTCCAGCTGTTGCAGCCATTTGGGGGAGTGAACCAGTAAATGGAAGACCTCTCTCTCTGCCTCTGTCTCTCTCTGTAACTCTGCCTTTCAAATAAATAAATAAATAAATATATTTTTAAAAAGGATGTATTCCCCATGGAGGCTGATGTTGTGGCACAGAGGGTTAAGCTGCTGTTTGCAATACCAGCATCCCCTATTGGAGCCCTGGTTGGAGTCCTAGCTGTTTTGCTTCTGATCCCCACCTCCATGTGGGAGACCCAAATGGAATTCCCCGCTCTTGGCTTCAGCCTGACCCAGCCATGGCTGTCGGAACCATTTGGGGAGTGAATGAGCAGATAGAAGATCTCTCTCTCATTTTACCTTTCAAAAAAAATTAAAACAGAACGTATCCTCCATGGATAGAAGAAGGGACTACTGTAACAAAATATTCTTCATTCCTCCTTTACATCCCTTGCTTCATTGTAGTCATTTCACTTATACATAAACTGTAATCAGATGTACTTTGTTACTATGATTATTTTGAACAAATTGTTAGATCAATTAAGAATAAGAAAAATGGAACTCAGTATGTCAGTTCTTGGGCAGCACATAGACTAAAATTGGAGCAATATAGGGGATATTAACATGACTCCTGTGCAAAGCTGACATGCAAATTCATGAAGCATTCCATATTTTTAATTACAACTAGACAGGAGGAATCGATTGCAAGAGACTATTGTACAGCATGGTTAGCACAGTTAATGATGATATATTCTTGAAGAGTATGAAGACAGTGGCTGTTAAGTGTTCTCACCACAGACATGGTAACTATGTGAGATAATATATTTGCTGATTAGTTAGATTTAATCATTTGTTCATTAGTTAGATTTGACAATGTTATTATACTTCAAAACGCCATACAGTACACAACACATATACACAATGTCTGCTGCCAACTAAAAGAGAATAATAAAAAGTGTTTGTTTTGCTTTCAATTATTCCTTCTTCTCTGCTCCTCCTTTCTTTATGGAGATTTGATTTTCTGACCCATATCATTTCCCTTCTCTCTGAAGAATTTTTTTAACATTTCTTGCAAGGCAGGTCTACTAGCTGCAAATTTCCTCACCGTGGTTTATCTGAGAAAGTCTTTATTTATTCTCTACATTAAATATTTCACTTCACTCTCTTCTTGCTTGGTTGGTTTCTGAGAAGTTGGATGCAATTCTTTGCTCTTCTGTAGTTAAGTTGTTTCCTCTGCTTTTTTTCAAAATTTTTTCTTGGGGCGGGTGCTGTGGCATAGTGGGTAAAGCCGCCACCTGCTGTGCCAGGATCCCATATGGATGCCAGTTCGAGTCCCAGCTGCTCCACTCCCAGTCCATCTCCCTGCTAATATGCTTGGGAAAGCAGTAGAAGATGGCCCATGTGAGAGACACGAATGGAGTTCTGGGCTCCTGGCTTCGGGTTGGCCCAGCTCTGGCCCTTGCAGCCTTTGGGGAGCAAACCAAGAGATGGAGGACCTCTCTCTCTCTCTCTCTCTCTCTCTCTCTCTAACTCTGCCTTTCAAATGAATAAATAAATCCTTTAAAAGTGTCTTTTTATTTGATTTTTAGGCACGTTGAACCTGTGTCTGCATGCAGTTTCTGTTGAGTTTTGCTTTGGTGCGTTTCCCCTGTTTGGTGATCTCTGCACCTCCTGGGTCTGTGGTCTGGTGCCTGATAGTCATTTGGTGAAATCTTCAGTTATTAAATTAATGTTTCAAATATTTCTTCTGGTTCTCTCTTCTCCTTTAGATATTTTGAATATGTGTATGTTATGCCTTTTGCCTTTGTCTCTCTGTTCTGGGATATTCTTTCTCGGTGGTTTTACCCTTTTCCCTCTTGCTTTTCAGTTTTGAAATTTCCTGTTGACGTTATCTTCAGCCTTGGAGATTCTCTCCTCCGTCATGTCCAGTGCACTAATGAGCCCATCAAAGGCATTCTTCATTTCTGTTATGGTGTTTTTCTCTCACTTCTTTCTTAGAATTTCCATTTCTTTGCCTACGTGTTGTCCGCCTGTTCTTGCCTGTTGTCTGCTTTTCCCGGTAGAGCCCTCAGCCTATTAATCACAGTTGTTTTAAATTCCTGCTCTGATAATCACAACATTCTTGACATAGCTGAGCCTGGTTCTGTTCTGACGCTTGCTCTGTTTCTCTAAATCGTGTTTTTTTGCCATTAGTATGCCTGCTAATTCTTTTGTTGAAAGCCACACATGATGTACTGGGGAAAAGGCATTCCAGTGAAACAGGTCTTTAGGAGTGACCTCTGGTAAGGCAGTGGTCAGCGTGGGCAAGGGGCACGTTCTGCAGTCCTAGGATTAGGTATCCATCACTGAGCAAGCCTGGGCCCCTGGGCTGCGAACTTTGGTTTTCCCTCCTTGGATGAGACAAGGTGGCCATGGTGGGCTGGAGTTGTGTACTTTCCTCTCCCAGGTCAGCTAGGCTCTGATAAAATCCCACAAGATCCAGCCCTGATAAAATAGTTTCTCTGGAGAGCAGGCCTGGTTAAGAACAGGGTGCTCTGGCATATTTCAAAATGGTTCCTGGAGGCAGGAGGGGATGATTTTCTGGTATTCACTGGGACAGCCGGGTAGAGATCCTGAAGATAGTCACAACCTGTGGGCCCCTTCCCTCCTGAAGTTTTGAACTCTCAGATCTGCCTGCCCTGTGCCTCTCTAGCAGTTCTTTAATTATAGCTCGGGTTTTCCTCTCCCAGTACTGGGTCCAGCAGAGGGTTCTGTTGATGGACTTTCATTCCAGTAAGTTGTGATTCTCTGTATCCACTCCTCCAATTTTTAGGGCAGTGTGACCTCACTTGAATGATGGATCTAAGAAGAGCTGTTTATTTTGCAGCTTGTTCAGAAGATAGAAGACATCTTTGAATTTCCTTAGATGCCGGATTAGAGGCTGGAAGTCTCCCTACCGTGGGTTGAACCCCTATGTGGAAGCAAACAGTTAAAAATACATATTTATTTATTTGAAATGCAATGTTATAGAGAGAACGAGAGACAGAGAAAGAGATCTTCCATCTGCTCGCTCACTCTCCAAATGGCCGCAATGACTGGGTTTGGGCTAGATCGAAGCCAGACTCCATCCTGGTCTCTCACATGGGAGTTGGGGACCCAGGAACCTGGGTCACCTTCAGCTGCTTTCCCAGGCACATTAGCATGGAACTGGATTGGAAGTGGAGCAGCTGGGATTTAAACCAGTGCCCATGTGGCATGCCGGCATGGCAGGTGGCAGCTTAGCTGCGCCACAACACAGGCTCTGGAAGCAAGTATCTCTCTCTCTCTCTCTCTCTCCCTCTCTCTCTTTCTACCTTCCTTCCTCCCTTCCTTCCTTCAAGATTTATTTATTTATTTGAAAGGCAGAGTTACAGAGAAGGGGCGGGAGAGAAAGAGAGATAGAGATCTTCCATCTATTGGTTTACTCCAATGACCCCCAAAGGTGGGAATTGTGCTAGTCTGAAGCCAGGAGCTTCATCTGGGTCTCTCACATGGGTCCAGGGGCCCAAGCACTTGGATCATCTTCTCCTGCCTTCCCAGGCTCATTAGCAGGGAGCTGGATTGGAAGTGGAACAGCTGGGTCTTGAACCCAGAGCCCATATGGGATGCCAGAGCCACAGGCAGAGGTTTTACCTGCTATGCTACAGTGCCGGCACTCACTAAAACACTTCTTAACTAGGATCTCATTTGGGCCTAGCACAGTGGTGTGTAAGCCTAAGCTTCCACCTGTGGTGCCATATGGGTGCTGGTTTGAGTCTCGGCTGCTCCTGGCTTCTGATTGGTCCAGCTCCAGCTGTTGTGGCCATGTGGGGAGTGGATGAGCAGGTGGAATATCTGTCTCTGTTGCTCTCTTTCTCTCTGTGTAATTCTGCCATTCAAATAAATAAATAAATCTTTTAAAAAAAATAGGATCTCATTCAACCCTCAGACACCCTGCGAAGGAATATGGTTACTCATTTTGCAGAAGCAATTTTTGTGGTTCAACAAGAATCAAGCTCACACATAGTAGGCAGGATTTGAATTTGGGTATGTGTCTCTCCCATCATGCCACTGCCCAAAACAAAGCAGATTCAGGGTGAGGCTTCAGGCTCAGAGGCAGACACAAGCAAGAAACAGAGATGGGAGCCTAGGCCCAAGTGGAGGATAGGACCGAGACACTAAGCAGGTTCCCAGGGCTCAGGCCTCCATCCAGTCTCCAGAGGGAGGTAAAGGTAGAATCCTGACGCTTCCCCCTTCTGGCTGTGTCACCTGGGCAAACTGTTCTGTCCCTCCTAGACAGGGCTTGGCACGTGTCGCTGCTGGAAAATGAAAGTTTTTATTGTTGTTGCTAGGTAGTGGTTAATGCTGCCAGCTGGGAGGGCAGGTGAGGGGAGAAAGCAGAGAGGAGGCCAGAGCTGCCGGGGCGGGGGTGGGGGGGGTGGGGGGGAGGCACCCTCACTCCAGCTGGGGAGGCTGGTGGAAGCCAGGGCCTGGCAACCTCCAACCTCAGGGAGGAGTCATTCCGTGGTCGAAGCTCGAGTGAGACACAGCCGTGCCGGCTGCTCCCGGGGCACACTGGTCTGCTCCTCTCGGTGACCATTGTCCTGGTTGGCCCCCAGGGCCAGAGAGCCTGAGAGCACAGAGGATCGGTCTTTCCCTGGGCCCGGGTGTGCCAGGTGTTGTAAGGGGGGGGGGGGGGCCCGCTCCAGCTCAGAGCCAGCCCTGACACCTCCTGACCGACTCCAGCGCCGGCCCTGATGCCGGGAGCTTCTGCTTCTGCTCGGCGTGGAGAGACAGAGACCTGGTTTACTTTCCTGTCTGGAACAACTTAAAAACCAGAACGGACAAAAAGCGTTGCATTCAAGACTGCACGTTAGGCAACGGCCATGAGAGAAGGCAGGAAAAACCAAGTGAATCCTGTGCCTGCCTGGAGAACACTCCTGGGCGGTTGCTGGGGCCAGGGCTCTCGGCAGAGCTGGCTCCCTGGGATATGGAGACGCGACTGGGGGTGTGGGGGAAGTCAGAGGCTAGCGCTGGTAGAGCAGGGAAGAAGACAGGTGCGGAGGAAGCGCTCTGAGAACTGTGCGCAGGCTCCACCCCAGCTATTCATCTCTGTATTGATGAACTGGAAATCACCCGAGGGTGGGGGAAGCATCAGCTAAACTGATCAGAGGGAGGAGTGCTCAGGCTCAGACGGGCTGGGAAGCGCAGCCTGCTCCTCAGAGGCAGAGAGGAAAGACTCAAACACAAGGGCATCAACAAGACAACCAAGAAGGGGCTTGTCTGAGAATGGGGGGGGGGGGGGAGGCGGGGGAGAATAGCCCTGCATGCAACACATCGCTGGTTCCCCTAACCAAAGGATCAACATTTCCAAGGGACTTCATTATCTCTCACAACAAAACTCAAAATGATTTATAGAAATACAAAAATATTTAGCACACTACAAAGCACAATCCCTAAATGTCTTACATCCACCTACAGGTACCAGGCATGCAAAGAAGCAAGAAAACACTTCATGTAACAAAGAGCTTATCCATCTGTTGACACCGGTCCAGAAATGAAAGTGAGGATACAGTCAGCAGACAACAACTTGAAAAGTCATTATGAATGTGTTTCATATTTTAAATATGTTGATTATACAGAGGCATGGAAATGTTTTTATTTTTAAAGTAATGTTAA